TGTATCGCAAAGTATACTTTTGCCCGGTGGGTATATACAAAGCTCTAAAAACAGAAAATCATCACTTGAAGTAGAGCTTAAAGATAGAGTGACAACCAAGATGACTTGGTAGGGGTGGATACAGAGGGGGGGGGGGGGTGGCAACAAGGGGTGCCTCGTGGTAATCTAATATATGATATCTTCAGTGTACATGAAATTTAAAAAAAAATGCCCTTTAATGTGCCCCCGTCAGCCATTTCAGATCCTTACGAACCTGAAAATATGATAACTTTCTAAATTGGGGGTGAGGGGAGCTTTTCAGATCACGACTAGAGTAAAATAGATCTTTTCATGTGATGACCTTTTTTCGAAGGATTTGCAGGCTTGTGCCCCCCCCCCCCTAGAAAATCCTGGACACGCCACCGATTACGCGGGGAGGGGGGGGGGGGCTCTTGTGGAATGTATCAATCAACGATAAAGGACTGCTGTTTCCGTTCCCTGTTATGGTGTAGAACATGTTTCGATATACAGCAGAATGAAATACTAGCTGGCTGTACTAGCTCAAAATATCGACCGAATATTGCATTGAATTTCACCATCTACTCTTCCTGCCTTGCTGAGCTACATCGTAGCACATCCATACTATGTTGTGGCGTGCAAACGCAACATTTCGGATTATTCCTATAAACAAAAAACACGCGCCAGCATACCTGTAGTGCGTGTTGTATCTGATGCCAAATACACCATCCGGGACGTTCCATATGGATGAGAGGGGATAGTGCATATGTTTTCTACACGGTAATACGCAAGCAGCAGGACTAGAGTACACCCTAACCTTTCCATTATTATCAATATGGCAAGCCATCTGTCTTTTGGGGTCGCCTATGTTTTCTTCCTCAAAATGTTAATGCCAGTTGTAGAAATTCTGTAATAGCCGCATTTTCTGTGTCACCGTGTTAGATTGTTTGTTTAATTTTATTTCTGAAGTTTTCAACATAATAGAAAGTAACACACAAACTAGGTACATCTATGTTGTTAACAAAAGTTAAAATACATATACAATCATATCATTTGTGACCTTTATGGACAGGTACTAAATACATTCTTAATAAGTCTAGATCGCAACATCCAGCATTTCGTGCGATTAGATAAGGCTTCCTCCTTTAAGTTGATATTCTATGTCTTGACAGTATTTTAGTTTTAGCCTATGTTATATTTCACTCAATCATTGAGTTATTAATGTAAATATGTATTGAAATTATGGAAATAAAAACCTCGCTTGAGGATAAGAGAAAAAAATGTATTGACAGTATCGATATGAAGTATATCATGGCTAATTGCTGCAAAATTTATTTCAATTAACTGTCTCATTTACTAATTTTCAAAGTTAAAAAGCAAACAACGTAAACGAGCAAACGTTAAATGTATTTGGCGCCTAGAAACTTGTGATAAGGCGCGTTATGAATGTGACCTATTATCATTTTTGATACGTTGGATATTTTGAGTATCAACCATAAGAATCTAGCGAAAATAACCCAAACTGTACACCGCCTTTGCCTAAACATTTCTAAAAATGAGTAGGAGGGCAGAGGAGGTCTTGACTTTTCTCCTTCCTAGAAGAACTGTCAATTTATGTCTTTAATGAAGATAGATGCATCGCTTTACCCATTTTCCCCGGCCGGTAATCGAGCCACCGTCACCCATACTCGAGCATCTTACCCCGGTAAAGGGAAGTTCATTCTTTAGTTTCACTTTAAAAGCCGTGTTTAGAGAGGACTCGGGCAGTAAGACTGCTAGAGTTACATCCTCTGTCTTTTCTCCTCCTCGGACGTCTTTTCTTTCTCATAAATTACCATCGAGAAAGGGCTCGTTCACTCGTGTACGGAGAAGGACGCAGGTAGAGACTGTCTTGTGCTACGTTAAAGATGAAGTTGGTTTGAGTGGTCATGCGATTGCATTGTGAAATAAACGGTGTGGAATCGACCAGAAAAGGTTGATCATCTAGCATATAATTATCGGTGTGTACTGCAAGGTTCTGGAATCATCAAAATGATAAGAAATTTGGCCCAGTCTTCGTAAAGTTACAAGCACTGTACACAGAAAGATGCATATGAGACTACGCACACGTGCGCGACACGTGCGCTTATCTCTCACCACACACCAATAGATAAACTAATTTACCAAATATATCAATTAGTAGGCGGTTTCCCGGCAATTTTTTTTATCATCATGTATTAGTCAAAAACATATTCATTTCATTTTTTGAAATTGGGGCGTTTCCAATACTGGTCTTTACCTTTAAAGATAAAGTTGAGTACAAGCCCATGCGACTACATCATGTATATTGTCAAGGAAACTGTTTTTAAAAACTCTTTGAGAACGATTTACTATGCAGTATGCAAGGATTGATGTATGTACTCTGAGATTTAGGAAAGATCAAAATGATAAGAATTTGAATCAATCTTGCTGCATTTGCACTGTGCAGAAAATATTATTGGACTGCACGTGTATATGGCATGAAAGTTTGATCCATCTCACAACTATTTATCCACATAAATTATTTCGCATATGATATTATTCTTACTAAAAAACGACATGCACTGCACACATCAGCATGGGACTGGACACACGTATGGCAAAAAAGTTTGATTTGAAAAATAACTTTAACTATTTCTCGTACTATTTCGAATATGAGGACAATTTGAATGGCAAATTCCTATACGGGGATATTTCTATTATGATTTTTTCTCTCTCTTATGACAAAGAAAGAACGAGAAAGCTCACGACTTTTTATCTTCGCAAGAACTCAATCTTCTTCTTTAAATTGTGCAAGTAAAGCGAGGTGATTTGAATTGGGAACGTGAAACCTGATCTCCAGGCTTTCGAGAAAATAAGTGAATGTGTCTAAACACTGATTAATTCTTGATGCTGACGAGCTTTTGAAGAGGATAATTGTCTCGTATCCATCCTGGTAGCTACGTAGATAATGCGTGGGC